TGTGTTGAAAACAACTCACCAAGAGGTAGCTTGAGAAGTGATTGATCGATCAGCATGTTAGTTGTTGGACTCAAGCGTGCTATATCGGATAAGATCATAGTTAAGAGATCAGCCGGATATAACTTTTTCTTCTATACTTTTTTTTAATTAAATGTGTACTTTTCATGCAGTTGTGTCGTTGGATAGGTAATAAATCAATCAAATGGAATGATAAATTTTTTGGCACACACAATTCCTACTATTTTTTCCAGTGAGGTTGGGGAGAACAAACTGTAGCATCTCCTTCCGCTGTCTCAAAATGAAATTGGAGCATCTCATAATTTGATCTCAAATAAGGCAACACATTCACACAATTAATGTGTATTTAAACAATGTGAATCGCCTTTGCTGGGAAATGCTTGAGGTATAAGTACACATGATATACGTGGCATATCACAAAATTACATGAGATACACTGTGGTATACATGCATGTATACATATGAATTATAACCCAAATACATATTTGGCATCTTTAATTAACTGATCAATATTAATTACCTGGTGCAACTTTGATTGATTTCAGGTGGAAGAGGGATTCAATTCAACAGTGGAGGAGATCGTGAGGCGGCTCAACTTGTCACTGCGCCAACATTACGGCGCCAATAATTCGGACGATCGAAATAGTGTCACCAAGAGAGAATGCTAAGCTAGCTGCTCATGCAAGTCGATCAGCCCTTTCCTTGGATGACTTTATATTCTGAAAACTGAGAGAGAAATTCATGGTGAGGAATTGCTCGTTTCGATTGTGTGCATGCATGCATGCATGATCAGCTTATAGATATATGTTGCACGCATGCGTGCATGCATGGAGACGAGGATTTCTCAGCCACAGGTTTGCAAGTTTTGGTTGCTAGCTAGCTACTTGCTGTTGCTCAATCCCGATCACACTGATGAAATAATGAGGGCAGTAACCAGGATACATATAATAAGATTTTTCTGCATCTAAGTATGGATTTTCAGTTAATTCTTCTATGCAGAAAAATTGGACGAATATATATGTCACATATGCATTATCTCAGTCCTGTCATGTTGAACTGTCTGCATCAATTAACCAATCATGAATTTTAGGTCTGATCTTCGCAGCTAATTCCATATATGTATGACAAGTCCCAGCATCTCATCTAGTAGTACCATTATTATTTTCCAAAATATCCCATAATATCCTGCTTTGAAATATTTTGGTTAGTGTAGTGCACGCATGAGATGATCATATCCCGGTATACATGCATGCATATCTTCTCTCTGACTCGTGCGTGAGTCATCCATGCAAGAATAGTATTATCTAGCTCCTCTGCGTCATCTCATTGGCCCTCTTAATTTATTTAGTAGATATTGCGTGATTTGCACAGCCTTAAAGATACAGATATGATCAATCCGAGATTGAGATCGAGTTCATTATTGGGTAAGTCGCAAAAAAAAAAGAGTTCATTATTGGGTAGAGAAAACGGTTGAGATATGCAGTGCAAAGTTGGCACAGTTCTGTCTGCATAAAATGCAACATGTCTTTAGTTGGTAGGGCAAGCCAAGAAGATCTCTGTGATCTGCACATATATGTATGTACATACTCAACATGCACATAGTATATATCCGTTAATACAGACAGATGATCGGCTTGTTCCCCATCATGGAGTATATCATGTATGATACTATGATTAAACAACGCGTTATCGATGATCTCGAGTGATTTGATCAGTGCTTTCTTGGCCATGTTATTTGATTGGATTAGTTTAGATGGGAAGCAGCTAATTAATCTAGGAGGATGAATGATCACACTATCTTTTGGTCATTGCCAGACAAGTACTACCCAACCAAACACAACACAGAAGAACATATTATAAAAAGATTGCAGCTGAGATCAGTGAGAGACAGCCCGGCATATCTCAGGGAACTCTTAGTTTATGCATGCATGCCTAGGTGAGGTGAGGTGAGGTGAGGTGAGCTTTAGTTCAGCTCAAGGCATTGCAAAAGAGCGAGGTACTATATTGTATTGTGTTTGTTTACCATAACCAGCAATTGTGCCATGTGCATCCATGCATGGATGAAAAGGCTTCAATAATTGCCTCATGGTGCAGCATATTTTATTGCCAAAGCAAAAGTTTTTTTTTAAATGGTTCTTGTTGCAAAGGTTTTCGGAGGCTTGTAACCAGCAGTGTCCCATTTTCTGGGTGTTGAGGTCTGGTTGGCTGCATGCATGCATGCTGACTGTAAAAGGCAGCACGTTTGCCTGCTCATCGTTGTCTTTTCAAACGCTTTGTGTTGAGAAGGATGGATGATGCAGTTGCACTCGGTTCAAAAAAAAAATGATGCAGTTGCACTGGCCGGCAGTGGAACTAGCCGTGACTATTAAGCCTCCGATCGATTATACCTAATTCACATTAACTATGATATATGCTGCTGTTGTTGGATCTTACTGCCGGTCCATACCGAACAGACAGACAGGAGTAACTCTTGCTCGTGCATATGCATGAATGCACGCATCTGGTTCGTGATGGATGTGACTAAAACAGTGATCGATGCTCCGTTCCCAGCCATGCATGTTTCTTTCTCACCTTTGTTTATAACAAGAAGACTATGCCGATCGATCCATCCATCTCGAACTGATCCAACAAGCATCTCAGTTGCTGTCGCCCGCGGATAAACGTCGTCGGTGTGCATGCCGCCATTAATAACAGACGCCCTTGAAGATCGCAACCACATGCGCACTGTTCTTCAGCCCCACCCCAGAGAAGAAGCTACTCCCTTCGTTCCTAAATAGTTGTCTTTCTAGAGATTTCAACAAGTGACTACATACGGAGCAAAATGAGTGATTCTACACTCTAAAACATGTCTACATACATCCGTATGTTGTAGTTCATTTGAGATGGCTAGAAAGACAATTATTTAGGAACGGAGGGAGTAGGTACCTAGGTACCTCAAAGATAACATTGTTTTTTAGGAGGGGAAGTATCTACTCACGAGTTCATGTGCTCTAGATGAACAGTAAAAACAAAATAAAGTAAAATTTTAATATATTTTGAATTTTTCTATGACGAACTTTAAGGAACATTTGGAATGCCTACAAAATTTCATCATGAAATCACATTGATGGAAGTCATGGAAATAATAACAAATTTGAAACTCTGAAAATGGTACTTCCAAACGCATTTTGGAACTCTAATTACGTTTTTTTGCCAGGACTTTCACCAATGTGATTTCATGATAAAACTTTGCAAGCACTCCAAACATTTCTTAAAGTTAAAAAATTGTTTGTTTGTTTTTTCCTCTATTTTTATGATTTTATTGTCCGCGCATGGAGCATTTGAGCTTGACCTGAGAAAGGTACTTCCGTCGTTGTACCTCTCTTTCTCTTTCCTTTTCCTTTGTTGGAGAAACATATGCCAGCATTGGATTGAAAAGAACAGTGCCTTACAGTATGTCATGCGTTCTTATAATTAATTGGTACCGCTACTGGTGTCTAACGATGAAAATATCAGGTGCTCTCCCGGAAAATACACAGGAGCTCCTGGGTACTCCACACCCCTATATGAAAAATAATCATAAAAAATACCCAAAAAAAACTGAAATTTGGGGATATCAAACCTGGGTTCCCAACCTATTCCCGTGTGAAAATTCGTGAAAAATTCCGAAAAACATATCCGTGGTGAAGGAAATACTGTCCAAACAAAAATCTACCCAAGCAGTTTTTTCTATACATAGGAATTTTTTGTCTTTTTTGCCACGAGTACGTTTCCTGGTATTTTTTCACGAAATTTCACATGGGAGTAGATCGGGTACCCGCGTTTGATATCCCAAAATCCTAATTTTTTTTTAAATTTCTCGGTATTTTTTTGAATGAATTGTTCGTATAGGGGTGCGGAGCACCCAAGTGCTCCAAATCCTCGTCCGTGCTCTCCCATGCTCCCATGATACAGGGGCTCCTGGGCCGTTGGATCGTGGATCCAACAGTTAACGTTGGAGCCTTTGGACCTGCACGAAATTATGGGACTCCACATGTTACATCCTAAAATTTTGATTTTTGAAATATTAACTATTTTAAATATAATCTAAAAAAAATCTTGTCACGCTTGAGATTCACTAATCATCTATTCATAAAAAGCTGCAACCAGTTACCCATTTTTTGTAGACATGCAAATATGCTACATAAGTAAGTCATGCATGTAAGTTACAAGTTACACATTTTGCATTCTAATTAGTTATGCATGCATCACTTCTACATCATAAAATTTATCCATGTCATTTCTAAGTTTTTTATTACATTTTGTATTTATAGTATATGTGTTGGACGATTGCACTGTACTTATGTAAACATCTTTCATATTATTTTGTTAGAAATGACATTATTTAACTACAGTTCAAACTATTTTTCTCTTTGCATATACTTCATATTTTTTTATTTTTTTAAACTTACATTTGCTTTCGTCTAGTTTTGTCAGCTTAGCAATTATTTATGTATTTCTTTCAACAATGTTCCCACAGCAACGCGCGGGCCATCATCTAGTTTTTACTAGGACTTGAAGCATTTGGATTTTATTTGGGGTTTGAAAAAAAATCGGGTATTACTCAGAATCCTAAGTTATTTGACAAAATATTTGAAATGCCACAAATAGGTTTTATAAAATATTTTTGTATTTTACTTAATATTAGGGTTGAAAATATTTTCCCGAAGTCACAAATATTATTTTCGATTTATTGGTATTTTGTAAAAAAATATGAATTGAAATGAATTTATTTTCAAATCATATCCGAATTCAAACAAGAAAATAAATAGAAGTAGAAAAAAAACTAGCAAACCTAACCCAACCCGAAACAATCCACCAGCCCAAGCGGCCCATAGCCTATCCAACACTTAGGGCGCAGCGCAACCGGCCTGCTCACCTATCTGTCACGCCAAAGTTTCCAGATAAAATCAAAAAAGTGGAAGTTCTAGAAAAAAATAAAAATCTAAAAAATCCACATGACCGTCCAACCTAGAAATGTTTCAACAAGTTCTTCCAAATAGACAAAAAAACTAGAACAAATATTCAAATTTAGAGCCATTTTGTGTCAAATTTGGCCAAAAATTGAAGATTCTCGAAAATTTGAAAAAATCTCAAAAATCCACACTACACTTATATTAAATCTTGGAAAGTTTCAACTAGTTTTTCCAAATAAAAATAGAACTAAAATTTGAATTTATAGCCATTTTGGGTCAAATATTGGCTAAAAAAAGTTTTCAGAAAATTTGACAAAATTCACAAAAACCTAAACAACCCTTATATTCAATATGGGAAATTTTCAACAAGTTTTTCCAATGGATAAAAAATAAAAGCATTATTCATATTAGCATAGGGATGTAGTGCATGAGTCTACGTGGATTGGGATGTTGACCGGTCAAAGGTAGTAAGAAACCACTGCATGGTTGTTTCTTGTCCGGTTTTAAAAGTTGAGGGCCGTAAAATAAACAGTTTTTTTAGTTCAGTGTTCTGTTTTAGACTTTTGATAGTAATTTGAGGTTTTAATATAGACTTCTCACCCTTGAAGCTAACACAGGCGCCGGCCAAGCACGAAGCAACTGAAGAAAGATTACAAGATGTCGCAACGCATAAGGTCTCAGCGTCAAGTGAAACTATCCACTCGATATGCAGGTGATGAATGGATTGTCTGAGA